ACCAACAAGACCAGATGCTGGGCGATTCATCCAGGACAGCCTGCTGAATTGGTCTAGGACAGGCATTTCGAAGGGTCAGGCTGCAGGGGCTGGGCACAATGACTGGGCATGGGCACCTCCTCTTGTGTGAGGCATACTCCCCAGAACCCTGTGTTCCTGCCTCCCTTGGTTCCCAGAGGCAAAGCCAGTCTCTGCCCTCCCTTATCTAGCTCTATGATAACTGTGCTCAGTATCTGTCTTCTCTACTGCAGATCCAAGGCTGGCTTCGCTCAGCCCCGTTTGGCCAATACTGATTGCCCAGCTAGACACGGCCCACTCTTTCCTGAATAAAAGAGAAGAGCACCACAGACTCCACAACACCTGAAGAGAGCCAGACCAGTCAGAGGCTACACCCAACAGGCAAGCAAGGAATCAGCGACTGGCACCTAGCTTAGGAGCAACTGTGCAGCTGACAAGGTGCCGGCCACATGCTTGTTTCTTCTAAAGAGGGACAAGGGACAAAGCCTCAACTCTGCAGTCAGGACCTGAGGGATCTCAGCATCCAGGATTGTGCAGGTCGGGGAGTTTGGGGTGTGTGAACAGAGTTTGTGAACTTCACAGGGACAATTGAGAGGCCTGGCAATACGTGTTAGTACAGCCTGGTGATCAGTTCCCAAAATCCCATTGTTAACCTCAGAGGTAGAGGAAGGGTGCGTCTATCAGTTAGCAATGTCTGCCATGAAGTCAGAATAGAAAATGGAGACCTGTGTGCTACGTGCTTACTGTCCTGAGTGGTAGAACTGCGCGAAACTACTAGCAATAATAGCAGCTCCGCTAAACAGACTAGCAAATGTTGTAATCTCAGCACTCGAGAGACTGAGGCAGAAGGACTGAGTTCCAGGCCAGCTTGGGCCTCCAGTGAGAGCTTATCTCAAAATAATAATAGCATGTAACATGTCTTAAGCATGTCAATTGGGTTGGCACGTTCATTTCTTCCCTTTCTGTCCTCAGATTAATCCTCAGAGACAGGTGTCATTGTCCTTCCTCTAAAAGGTCTGCCCCATGGGTTTTTTTTTTTTTTATTTGTGTCATTTGATGTTACATCCTGGGCTCCTAAAAAATACTTCCTGGCCATGCAGGCATTCAGTTGCGTGTTTGCTAAGGGACGGGTGAATTTCCATTTTGAAGACGAGGAAACCGAGGACCCGAGCAGTAAGTGGCTTGCTCCGGGTAGGCAGCTGCTAAGTGCTACTTTAGGGCATCATGCCCTACAGAACTTTCTGGAAGGATGGACATGTTCTGTAACCTGTTCCTTATGACAGCTATTAGCCACATGTGGTTACTGAGGACTTAAAATGTGGCTAGTGTGTGGAAATTTGAGTTTATAATCTCATATAAATCTTGACTAATTAAAAGCTGACATTAGAAATAGTGGCGTGTGGCTGATGGTGGCTTCTCCGAATAGCACAGCCTGGAGATTAAGGGTTTGAGCACCAGAGACTAATGCCAGATTCCAGGATGTAAAGTGCACACAGGGTCAAGGTTTTCTTGGGGCACTACAGAAATCCCCAGCTTTAGGTTCCACGGAGCGGGGGAGGGGAGGTTGCTGGCCAGTGGAGGTCCCAGCGCGTGCTTTTGCTGTCCTGCTGTCCTGCCACAGCAGTCTGGGAGAATGATGTGTTGGCTCCAGAGGGGATCTGGATGACTGAGGACAACCTGCTGATCTGGGACAGAGCTCAAGACCTGTAATCTTGAAGTCCTGAGTCCTTAAGCCTTATCCTTTTACTGTTCAGCAGAAAGAGAAGCAAGGGGCCATGCCCCCCTCCATGGGTGAATCAGGCTGTGGGCATTACCAGGGGGTGAGGGACTTCGGTGGTCAGACGCTAGAGCTGGGGTATGCACTCATTACACACATAGTGGCTTCCAGATGACAGCTCATTCCTCCTCCAGGCCTCTGTCCAGGTTGGCTGGTGTCTTCCTTCTCGTCCCATCCAAGGGTGATGTTGACAAATGCCTAAATCGGATGATGGCCTGAGTATGTGACTCCTAGAGAGAGTCCACTCCAGGCTTCGTCAGTTTTATCAGGAATCAGGGCTGAAACAGAAGAGCACCTGTGTGGGTGGTTGAGCATCGTGTATCATCAGCTAAGGTTAACAGTTATGTCATAGATGGTTTGGAGAAACCATGGATTAATTCACTAAGCTTTGATGACATCACCGGAGGGGGGAGCAGGTTGGAGGTGGGGAAATTGAGGCACAACAAAGTAGCTGGTACAGTTCACCCATCAAGGGTACAGCCATGCCAGGACTCATCCCAGGCAGAACAGGAAGGGAAATATGTTGAGGATGGTGGAGGAAGGGGTGATAAACAACTCAGAGATGAGGCACACCCTACCAGGGCTGGCCTATATTCCCACTGTGGCCCTCTCCACATGCCAGCCTCATCCTCCAAAGGCATCCTGACCTTCCCAGCCCCAGAGCAGTTCCAACCCTACAGGATGTGCCGGCCAAGGATTCCCAGGAAAGACAGGACTGGGGCTGGCCAGCAAGCCTGCTCTTTTGTACAGAACTATCTAGATTATTCAGCCTTTGGGAGAAAGGCCAGGCCACGGACAAACCTTTGGCAAGCAGAACCGAGTGTTTAGAGAGCTGGCCCCACCTTCTTGGCCCAGCCAACCTCCTCCAGGAGCCTAGCCAACCTCGAGTCTTTTGGAGCTCTTCTTTCTCTTCTCTGATAGTCTCTCTCTCTTTTTCTCCTCTTCTTTCTTTCCTTCCTTTTCTTTTTCTTTTTTTTCATGTTTTTATGCTGTCCTGGAGACAGAACCTAAGCCTTCGTACATGCTAGACAAGCATGTGTACCCCTGAGGCACATCGCCAACCCTAACATCCACTTCTGAACAGAGGGTTAGGCCTAGAAACAACACAGACCTCATTAGAGTGGGCTCTTGGGTGACAATCCAAACTATTTTCTAGGGCCAGCTGTATGGGTCTGTGGTCTCTGGGATTACACAGGCTCTGTGTTCACAAAGGCTCTAAGCTGAGGTTTAAATTGTCTTGGACTTTGGAGTCACCTGACCTTGCACTTGTTCTGTGTATGCAAAGCATGATGGGATGGTAGAGCAGGTCATAGATCTGGGCCATGGAAGTCCCTCATTTCTACCTATTAATCAGTGTCCCTGATGGGGACCTGTGAGTGCTGTCTACCTAATGACTTAGTGTGGCTCAGGGTGGCCTATGACAGTCTACAAGTGTTCCTGAGTCTCCCTTCTTATGTCCCGGGGAATTCAAAATGAAATAGTGACTTTAACACCTGTTATTGGAGCCAGGTATAGTGGCCCAAGCCTTTTAATCCCAGCCATTGGGAAGCAGAGGCAGACAGATCTCTGTTAGTTTCGAGGTCAGCCTGGACTACAGAGTGAGTTCCAGGATAGACAGAGTTACACAGAGAAACCCTGTCTCAAAAAACAACACACACACACACACACACACACACACACACACACACAGACTCGCACAAAACAAAACTATGATTGGTCTGCAGCAGACCACAGAAACAAGGGAACATTTTGTTCTGTTTTGTGCCTCAGCCTCACGCTGAGTCTCCAAGGTGACAATATGGAGTCCCTGTCAGTTTGATCTACTTTTTTTTAAAAAAAAAAAAACAAAAACTCTTAGCCAGGTGGTGGTGGCGCACGCCTTTAATCCCAGCACTCGGGAGGCAGAGGCAGGCAGATCTCTGTGAGTTCGAGGCCAGCCTGGTCTACAAGAGCTAGTGCCAGAACAGGAACCAAAAAAGCTATGGAGAAACCCTGTCTCGAAAAATCAAAAAAAAAAAAAACCCAAAAATCTCTTTAGTTATATCTTGATAATAATAGGTGGACATAAATTTATGCTCACACAGGTATGCAAACTAACAATGCTCTCGTTTCAAACCTTTTTTGTCACCCCCTGAAAGTCCCTGATTTTCCTTTGTTGGCTGCCCCAGCTCTCCGACCCTTGGCGTCCTCTGCTGTGCTTCCTGGCTTTCCCATTTTCCTGTTTGAACATTTTACTTACGTCTTTTGTTCTCAAGTGGTTTGCCTTTTTAAGACAAAAATCTCACTATGTAGCCCAATCTGTCCTTGGACTCTTCATCTTCCTGTTCCAGTCTCCCAAGGAGGACAGCTGTGTGCCACCCAAAGCAGCTGGGAGTGTCTTTTTGTCTCTAGCTTCTTTCGTGTATTGGAACCGCTTCAAGGTTCTTCCAGACTATAACGTGAGTGAAGTTTGATCATTGATAGATGAATTAATGATGATCTCAGCTCAACAAATATTTACTGAGAGGCCGTGTACCTGCTACGGGAGCCCAGCAAGGATTATAATGTTCACTGGAGGGCTTCAAGTGGAAATGAAATAGAAAGAAAAGGGAGGAAGGGAGGGAAGAAAAAGAAGAAAATAATTATGTAAAATATGATGAGCCAACTAGGGCAAAGTTGAGGGCCGTGGTGATTGAGGTCCTGGGGAAGGAAGGAAGGAAGGAAGGAAGGAAGAAAGGAAGAAAGGAAGGAAGAAAGGAAGGAAGGGGGGAGGGAAGAAAGAGAAAAAGAAAAAAAGAAAACGTAACAGTAATAGATTGGGATAAACAGTAAAGAGAAGCAGAAAGCAGGACACAGGGTGCAGGGATGCTTTCAGGGATGCTGCCCCTGAGAGAAGGTAAGGAGGGCACAGCCATCCCGGAACCCCTGACACGCCGTGAGGTCTGTCCCACGGAGCCACCTCGTGTCCTGGAGCCCGGGACGTGGGGGCCAGAAAGTTTCTGCGGAGCATGCCTGGCCTGCCTAGGAGACAGCTGGGGTGAGGCTAAGAGAGATCAAAAGTAAGAAACCCTGGGTACCTCTTCCAGACACCTTCCCGCCCCTAAAACTGAGGTCCGCCCTCCTGCCTGTTAGTCTCCAACAGACCCGCCACTCAGACGACGCTCCGCCTTCCACCTTGCAGACCCCGCCTCTCGTCCCGCCTTCAGGCCCCGCCCCTCAGCCGCCATTGACAGTGCAGGCTTGCACTTCCTAGCGGAGGGATGGTTGCTTTTCGGGCGGGCACCGTAGCCCCGCAGCGTGCGCTGCTCTGGTAGCTGCTTGCAAGCGGGCGCGATTCGGGTTCGTGGGTGCACAGGTGCGACCCACGCCTCCCTCAGCGCCTCCAGCGCCTCAGCCCCTGCCGGGCGGGACCCGGGACGGTGAGTGCAGCCTGGGCTGCGTGCTGGATCCCGGGGACCCTGGGCGGGGGCTCTGCACCTTCACCTCACCTACTTGCACGTAGCCCTGGACGCGTCTAGCGGCTACAGACACGGTCCCTGAGACTAAGGCGAGCCCTTCACTGTAGCGCGCTGTCTCTCTCTGGATCCCTTGGCCTAGAAAAGAACGCTCTCAGACTGTGAGGAACCAAGAGACCTGGCTGGTCGCCCTAAGTAGTAGATGGGCAGAGAAGGTGTCTGTGTTTTCCTCTCTGTGACCTTGGGTGGGCCCCTCAGCCACCTGCCCAACCAGGGTGTGATTTTCTCACTGTGGGAACAATGGTACTCTGTCTCTGTCTGCCAAGGTGAACCGAGGGAGCCAGGGGTATGCAGTGAGTAGGTGCTTTTTTGATGACTGGTCTGTTTTCCTTCTCTCTGGGCCTCCAGCAACCCGGAGACAGAGTCCCTGCATGGGGACAGCTTCGACACAAAGTTACTAGTTTCCTCCGAAAGATTCCCTCCTCTCTTCTTTCCCAGGGAGAGTCGCACAGAATGGAATGTCCCCTGATTTCTTCCTCCGTGGGAACACTGGAGCCCCCTCTCTCTCCCTGTTTATCTCCTAATCGCGCTGACTTCTTAGCACATTGTTCTGCTTTAGCAAAGACTCTTTCTTCAATAGATAACAAAATGATTCTTCTAATGGACTCAGCAGAACCCGGGGAAATTTCTCCGAACCCCAATCCCGGTCTATGTGTTATGCCCAAGTTGGTTTCGTAAGGAAAATGAGGTGGAGAAAGTAAGACTGGCTAAGACAGATTCGTCTTTACGGCTGTTAATTAGACCAGCGAGAGTCTGCACCTTTCCAGTCTTCCCAAAGGATGGATGGAGGTTCGGTTCTCTGTGGGCGCCCGTTGGGGCAAGCTGATATCATGGGGTTGAGAGTAGGGAAGTTGCAGGTGTTGACTTTAGGTTGTTTGCAGTGGTCCCGTGTGTCAGTGTGTCTCCCTTCCTCCCCATCATTGTCCCCTACCCCTCAATGTATCGGGGCAGGGAGTCCCATAGACTCCAAGCACGAACAGAATCTTTCTGACCACAGCTAGAGAAGCAAGTTGAGCAGAATTTCTCTGAGTCAAATTAAGCTTAACCCAACAGATTTATTCCTTCCTGGGTGTCCCCTCCTAGTCTTCAAAGTCCCCCAAAGCCTGGCTCCAAGATGGCTCAGTGGACAAAGGTGTTTGCCACCAAGACTGACAACTTGAGTTCAATCCCTGGGTCCCATATGATGGAAAAAAGAGCTTAACTCTCCCAGGCTTTCACAAAATAAATTAAATTAAAGTTAAGGGGAAAAAAAAACATGAGCATGAAACACAGACTAAATGCTGTGAGATGCCACACTTTAGACATACAGGGTCGTGAATTAAGGGTTGCACTGAGCCGATGCCATAAAATGGGCTCAGAGTTCCAGGAACTCTGATATCCATACAGATATCCAAAGTCCTGAAAAGAGCAACTAGCCTAGCTTCCACCCCACAGTTCCCAAATAAAACAACTTTAAAAAAACAAACAAACAAACAAAAAAAACCAACAACTGATTCCCCCACATACACACACAGACTTTGCACTGTGTGCTGTCCTGTGTACCAGGTCATGAGATACCCTTCAAGTTAATAGAATCTCCTCTTGTGGTTGAGGGCTCTCTGTTTTCGTTCCTTCAATTCTATTTGCCAACTCAGATCTCACACTAAGCAGTTACAGCAGCCTGACTTTTTACACACAGTATCTCGTTCTCTCTCTCTCCTTCACGGGATGGTTTCTTCATTTGCTAACAGTGGTGTCTGTCTGCAGGGCCCACAGCTAACAGCCAGCCTGGAGTTAATGGCGCATGCTCAGAAATGCTATTCTCATTGTAGGTCCGGAATCACTCACAATGGAGGCAAGCAAGCAGATGCGAGTGTCTCGGCCATACAAAATCAGCGAATCTTCAAAGGTAACGTGGGCAGTGCCTCTCCACCCGTGGTATCGATTCCTGTTGCCTCCATCTTATGTCTCCTTAACTGTATCCACCTGCGGGTTTGCAGAGGAGCTCCTGGGTATAGCTCCCTCCATTTTCCATATCACCATGATGGGTGGGACAAAAGAACCAAGGGACTTCTGCCTTCATGTGGGCCTTACCAACGATGCGAGTCTCATGGAGAGTCCAGCCTCTGACCTTAAAATAGGACCCATCTTCCTGATGTTAGGACACCGGGGATCACTTCTCTGTTTGTGTCCAACTCCCTGGGACCCCAAGAACGAACAAGTATGGACTCCCTGGGTTCTGGCCACCAGCCCACATCAAGCTGGTTTCATTAGAATCAGACTCAGCGAGTCAGGAAAGAATCCAGGGAGAATGACCATGCCCAGTGGGCAGGGTGCACATTTGTAATCTCAGCACTTGAAGGCTGAGACAAGAAGACAACCAAGAGGGCTGGAGAGATGGCTCAGAGGTTAAGAGCATTGCCTGCTTTTCCGAAGGTCCTGAGTTCAATTCCCAGCAACCACATGGTGGCTCACAACCGTCTATAATGGGGTCTGGTGCCCTCTTCTGGCCTGCAGACAGAATATTGTATACATAATAAATATCTAAATAAATAGATAAATAAATAAATAAATGGCAACCAAGAGTTTAAGGCCAGCCTGCCTATATAATGAGTACAGGTGAGTACAGGCTGGCCGGCCAGTCAGAGTTACTTAGCAAAATCCTCTCCCAAAAACCATCCTGTGTGTATGTGTGGAGGGGAGGAGTGTCACACACCTTTAACTCCAGGAGAAACTGGTGGATCTCTGAGTCTACAGGGTGAGTTCTAGGACAGCCAGGGCTACAGAGAGCCCTGCCTTAGAACAAAACAAACAAACAAACAAACAAAAAACCAACAATAAAAACAAACAGGACAAACAGGCTCAGCAGGTAAAGGCATTTGCCAACTAAGCCTAGCAGCCTAAGTTCAAACCCCGGGATTCACTTGGTGAAAGGAGAGAGTCAACTCATGCAAGTTATCCTTTGAGATATGTAAACAGTGGCACACAACACTATCCTCCCTCCCCCCAAAAAAACCTAAGTAAATAAATGTAATAACGATAACATTTTAAAAAGAAAAGAAAAAGGCCAGGAAGTGGGTCGGTGGCTAGCTAACCTGAGACCACGCAGCAGGCAGGATGCAGAGTTGAAGTTCTAACTTCAGTCCATCCGACTTAAGCGGTGGGGTGGGGTGCAGGAGCACTCCCCTGATGGGAAAATGTTTACAAAGTATCTATCAAGACCTAGAAGAAGAAAAGAAAGAAAGAAAGAAAGAAAGAAGACAGAAGAGAGAAAGCTCTTAGACTCCTGATGATAAAGGAGAAAGAGAAAGCACGCCGGCAGTTTTTTTTGTTGTTGTTTCTGGTTTTTGTTTGTTTGTTTTTGTCTTTGCTTTTTCGAGACAAGGTTTTTCTGTGTAGTCTTGGCTGTCCTAAACTATCATTCTGCAGACCAGGCTGGCCTGGAACTCACAGAGATCTGCCAAGCAGACAGTTTCTAGGAATTATATTTAGCGAGCTGCCTAAACGTAAAATCACTTGCTGCTCGAGTCTGACAGACAACCTGAGCTCCCTGCTTTGAATGTCTGAACTGGAAGGAGAGCTGGCCTCTCACCTCCCCATTCACACTGTGCTGTGTGCCTGAGTGCTAATAAATATTTTATTCTCTTGTTTCATTTTATTTGAGGCAGTGTCTCTTTATGTAGACCTGGCTGGTCTGGAACATTCTAGGTAGACCAAGACTGGCCTTGACCTCACAGAGGCCCAATTGCCTCTGCCTCTGAGTACTAAGATTATAGGCATGTACCAGCACACCCAGCCAAATTTATAAAACATTGCAGGAGGGAGGACAAGAAGGGAGGAGAAGCATACTCTCAGATGCCCCTGAGATGCTCCAGGTTTACTTCCATGGCTCTTATTCCATCTTAGAGCAATTGTCATTACCTCTGGGCTGACTGTGGTCCCTGCAGGCCGTGGACAGCAGGCCTGTGCTTTCTCTCCTGATGCACAGGCTTCTCTTCTCGCGCAGGTGTACCACTGGGCTGACCACTCCACCACAGTGCTGCAGCGGCTGAATGAGCAGCGGCTGCATGGCGTCTTCTGTGACGTGGTCCTCGTGGTGGAAGAGCAGCAAGTGCCCGCCCACCGCAACCTTCTGGCTGTCTGTAGCGACTACTTCAACTCCATGTTCACGCTGGGCATGCGTGAGGCTTTCCAGAAGGAGGTGGAACTGGTCGGCGCCTCCTACGTGGGGCTCAAGGCCGTGGTGGACTTCCTCTACAGCAGTGAGCTGGAGCTGGACGGCAACAACATTGACTACATCCTGGAAACAGCGCACCTGCTGCAGATATGGACGGTGGTGGACTTCTGCTGTGAGTACCTGGAGCAGGAGGTGAGTGAGGACAATTACCTCTACCTCCAGGAGCTGGCCTCCATCTACAGCCTCAAGCGGCTGGATGCCTTCATCGACAGCTTTGTCCTGAGCCACTTCAGCACCCTGTCCTTCACGCCTGACTTCCTGCAGAACGTCTCTGTGCAGAAGCTGTGTGTCTACCTGAGCAGTGGCCAGGTACAGCACACCTGGGAGTATGACCTGCTGCAGGCAGCTCTGCAGTGGCTCACCCAGCAGCCAGAGCGAGAGGTGCACACCTGCCTGGTGCTCGAAAACATCCGCTTCCCCCTCTTCTCTGAGGACATCCTGCTCCAGCGTGTGAAGCTGGCCATGGGCTCGCTGTTGCCCAGTGTGGCTGATGGCAAGGGCTTCATGGAGGAGGCCCTGAACTACCACAGCAACCTAGTGGCGCAGCCTGTCCTGCAGACAAAGCGAACAGAGCTGCGTTCTGAGGAGTGCTTGCTCTTTGTGGGTGGCGAGGTCTCCGAGCGGTGTCTGGAGCTGAGCGATGACACCTGCTTCCTAGACACCAAGAATGAACAGTGGGTGAAGGAGACATCCCTGCCTGCCCGCCGGAGCCACCACTGCGTTGCCGTGCTGGGGGGCTTCATCTTCATTGCTGGTGGCAGCTTCTCGAGAGACAACGGAGGGGATGCAGCCTCCAACCTTCTTTATAGGTATGACCCCCGCCATAAACAGTGGATCAAGGTGAGATTAAAGCAGATTAATTCATTTCTCTTGAGGCCTCCCTCTTTGCAGCTCCCTAACCTCACCATGGCTTCCTGTTCAGACGCCTTGATGACTGCCCTGCTTCCGAGAGAACTGGGATGATACAGTGATGGTCTGCATCCTTGCTGCCTTCCTCATGCCTACACCAGGGTAGGGGTCAGGGGAGCCATGCAACCACCATCTGAAGGGCTGGCTACTGCCCAAAGCGGTATTCTTCACTGGGACTTTCTACCCTGATGGGGCTATTCTGTGTCGGTCCTGTTTCCAGCACAGTGGCCACTGGCCCTCTGTGCCCATTGAGGGCTTGAAATGTGGCCAGTGTACATTTTCAGTCTCATCTAATTGCAACTGACAGCTACTAAGTATCAATGGCTGCTCCAGACTCCATTATGGGCCTCAGCCAAGCAAAGGTCCCCGTGCCTCAGAGCCTCTGCTCGGCTTCTGTAGAAGGCTTCTTGTTCTTCCCAACTGCCTGGCTAGCTTAGACCCAAAATAATCACACAGAAACTGTATTAATTAAATCATTGCTTGGCCCATTAGCTCTAGCTTCTTATTGGCTAACTCTTACATATGAATTTAACCCATTTCTATTAATCTGTGTGTCACCACGAGGTCGTGGCCTACCAGCAAAGTTTCAGCACATCTGTCTCCTGCGGCTCCATGGCTTCTCCCTCACTCTGCCCTTCTTTCTCCCAGCATACAGCTCTGTCTTCCCCACCTACCTAAGTTCTGCCCTGCTGTAGGTCCAAAGCAGTTTCTTTATTCATTAATGGTATTCAAGCATACAGAGGGAAATCCACATCAGGCTTCTCTTGTGGAGATATTTGAGGAGTAATGTTCAGAAAGCCACAAAGCTCCATGCAACTTAGGGTCATTGTGGAGCCCAGACATTAGCCCCATTAGCACACCCTAGCTGAGTGTCTTAGTTACTGTTCTGTTGCCAGAAAGAGACACTGTGACCAAGGCAACTCTTTAAAAAGGGGGGGTGGGATGTTGGAGAAATGGCTCGGTTGGTTAAGAGTACTTGTTTCTCTTGCAAAGGACCAGAGTTCAGTTCCCAGCACTCACGCGGTTGCTCACAAACATCTGTGACTCCAGTTCCAGGGGATCTGAGGTCTTCTAACCTCCATGAGCAAACAGGATACACATACATACATGCAGGCAAAACACCCATACAAGAAATACAAAATAAGTACATTTTTAAAGAAAGCATTTAATTGGGAGCTTGCTTCCAGCTTCAGAGGGTTAGTCCATTATCATCACGGCCAAAAGCAGATAGGCCTGGTATTAGAGCAATAGCTAAGAGCTTTACATGTTGATCCACAGGCAGCGGATAGAGAGACTGGGCTTGGCATGGGCTTTTAAAACCCCAAAGCTCATGCCCAGTGAAACACTTCTACAAGGCCACACCTCCTAATCTTTCCCTAACAGTTTACCGACTGGGGATTTTGCATGCGAGTTTATGAGCCTACGGGGGCCATTCTCGTTCAAACCACCATACTGAGCTAGTGAGTGCTTAGGAGTTTCAAGATGCCACCTTGTCTTTCCCAAGTTTCACCTTCTACCTCTATATGCTTGTGGCCTTGTAGGGCTAAGAGGGTGGTACCTGAGTTGATGGGCATGTGTATGGATGAAGTGTCCCCTTCTGCAGTCACCTCTCTAGACTGCAACCAACTGAAATGTCTTTACGCTCACACCTCTGTGTGACCAATTGCCTCAGGGTTTGCTGAATTTAACATCTCCCAGGCATGGGAGCTCACTCCTGTAATCCCAGGATTTAGGAGGCGCCGCAAGTCTGAAGCCAGTTTTGGGCTATGTAGTGATTCCAGGTGAACTTGGGCAATAGTTTGGGACCTTGTTGCAAAAACAACCAAAATAGATTCCAGATGGCTTTTCAGTTCTAATATCAAAACTCTAGCCTGACCAGGTGGTGGGGGGCATGCCTTTAATCACAGCACTCAGGTGCTCGCTTCGGCAGCACATATACTAATCACAGCACTCAGGAGGTGGAGGCAGGAGGTTCTCTGTGTGTGAATCTGAGTCCTGCCTGGTCTACAGATTGGGTTCCAGGACAGCCAAAGCTACACAGAGAAACTCTGTCTTGAAAAACAAAAACAAAAAAAAAATTAAAAGAGTAAAAATTTAAAAAACCTCTAGCCTGGGCCAGCAAGGTGACTTAGGACTCTGACCTCTACATACATGGCATAGCATGCATGCCACACACACACCCAGATATACACAATTGTAGCACAAATTCTAGCTGATATTAATAATAAAGCCCAGAGTCAGATATTAGGGGTGAAAGCTCAAAGATCAGAGAAGCCGTACGGCCAGCCCCTTTTTACCTCTATCAATGCTCAGACCGAAGGGGCGATCCTGTCCTCAGACTATCTCCTCAGACTTCTCCCTCTGACTGAATCTGTCTCCACCAAACCTCAGAATGCCCTGAGCTCCTGTCTCCTCCTGCCGTATATTCTTCTCTCCACCCAGCCATATACTCCTGTCTCCATGTCCCTAGTGCTGGGACTAAAGGTGTGTGAGCTCTATTTATTTATTTATTTATTTTTGATTTTTTTTTTTTTTGAAACAGGGTTTCTTTGTGTAACCGTCTTGGCTGTCCTGGAACTCACTTTGTAGACCAGGCTGGCCTTGAACTCACAGAGATCCTCTGCCTCCTGAGTGCTAGGATTTAAGGCACTGCCTGGCTTCCTTATAAAACTTCATTAGAGTTACCACTAAGACCCACACAACAGAGTCTATACTAGGCTGTTTTGAGATTTCCTCTACCAACTGAATTAATCCAAAACTCTTACTTTAGCCTCAGGCAAACTCTTCAGACAAGGGTAAAAAGCAGTCACTTTCTTCCCCCAGAATATCACAAGAATTATCTCTAAGCAACATACTAAAATTCTCTTTCTCTGAAACCTCTTCAGTGAGTACCCCATAGTTCATCAAATCATACGCAGTACCACTGTCTTCCATGCTCCTACTAGTATGGCCCATTAAACAGCAGTTAAAACATTCAACTGCTTTTTAAATCCACAGTCCCAAGTCCATATTACTCCAAACTAAAACATAGTCAAGCCTATAACAGCAATACCATAGTCCTTGGTACCAACTTCTGTCTTATTTAGGATTTCTATTGCTGTGAAGAGACACCATGACCATGGCAATTCTTTTTTTTTTAAGATTTATTTATTTATTATGTATACAACACTCTGCCTACATGTATGCCAGAGGAGGGCGCCAGATCTCATTACAGATGGTTGTGAGCCACCATGTGGTTGCTGGGAATTGAACTCAGGTCCTCTGGAAGAGCAGCTAGTGCTCTTAACCACTGAGCCATCTCTCCAGCCCCCGACCATGGCAATTCTTAAAAAGAAAACATTTAATTGGGGTGGCTTGAATATAGTTTCAGAGGTTCAGTTCATTATCTCATGACGGGGAGCCTAGTGGCGCAGAGGCAGATGTGGTGCTGGGGTAGTAGCTGAGAGTCCTACATCTTGCAGGCAACGAGAAAGAGACTGTGATACTGAGCAAAAGACCTCAAAGACCACCTCCAAAGAGGCACACTTCTTCCAACAAGGCTATACCTGCTCCAACAAAGCCACACCTCCCAATAGTGTCTCCCTTTGGGGACCCTTTTCTTTCAAACCACCATAGTCACTTTCTGTTCTGTTAACATGGATGGTGACAATGGATCAGTATTGATTTAAAAAAAATCTCAACCAAATTGTGCTTCAGTGGTAAGAAATTGCCCACTCTGCTGAAATCCCTGATGGGGAAGAATGGAAAACTGGTTTTTGTTTAAACTTTCAAGTCTTATATAGATTTATTTATTTTATTTTATATACATTGTGCTGCATGTATGTCTGAGCACCATAGGCATACCTGGTGTCTGAGGAGATCAGAAGAACATAGGAGACTGAATTGTTTTTAGTTTTAGAAAGTCAATTAATTTCTTGCATAATGCCAGTCCATGAGGTTGACCATGTGGCCAAACCAATTTCAGGAGGTGTGGCCCATGCACCTCTTGAGGATTTGAGGTCTGATGGAAGCATCAGGGTTCTCAGAATCCCTACCAGTATCGCCCCATTTTCCTCAAGTCCAGGCCCTTCTCCCCAGCTCATCTGGCCACTGTCTGGCCCGCCTGGGCCATTGGCTTTGTGGACTCAGTGGAGGAACATGGTGCCAGGGCTTGGGAAAGGAAGCGTCAGGTGTCTCGCCCTCACCACAGGTGGCCTCCATGAACCAGCGCCGTGTGGACTTCTACCTGGCCTCCATTGAAGACATGCTGGTGGCTGTTGGTGGCCGGAACGAGAACGGAGCGCTGTCTTCTGTAGAGACCTACAGCCCCAAGACCAACTCCTGGACTTACGTGGCTGGCTTACCAAGGTGATGAGGGCTTGAGACCACTGTTGGAAGGTGATATTGTCACAGGAGAAAGTTTAGTCTTTGCCTTCTGTTTTCATAATGTCCTGTTGCAGCTCAAGACAAGCATTTCCAGTTTTCAAATTGGCTGGGCCCTGGGCTTCAGAGAGTGAGTGTTGTGTTGGGATGGTCAGTCCCTTCCTAGAAGGCCTGGCTGGTGTAGGCAGGAGGTCAGAGGGGCATGGGCCTTATCCTACCTGTGTTTTATTTGCTTGCCTGCAGAATGGGTACTACAGGGCAGCCTGGGGGAAGTTACACACCATCTCTCTGACATTCTCCTTTTTTTTTTTTTTAAAGATTTTATTTATTGGGGGCTGGAGAGATGGCTCAGAGGTTAAGGGCATTGCCTGCTCTTCCAAAGGTCCTGAGTTCAATTCCCAGCAACCACATGGTGGCTCACAACCATCTGTAATGGGGCCTGGTGCCCTCTTCTGGTCTGCTAGCATACACACAAACAGAATATTGTATTCATAATAAATAAATAAATAAATATTTTATTTATTTATTATATATATATAGTGTTCTGCCTGCATGTATGCCTGAGGGCCAGAAGAGGGTGCCAGATCTCATTACAGATGGTTGTGAGCACATGTGGTTGCTGGGAATTGAACTCAGGACCTCTGGAAGAGCAGCCAGTGCTCTTAACCACTGAGTCATCTCTTCTGCCCTCTCTGACATTCTCATGTGGCCTCCAGCAAGCAGGGAGTACCCCAGAGATAGTAGTGCACCCCACCACTGAACCTGCACACATCTGTTACCACACCTAGGCTATACCTAAACCCAGACTCTGAACCTTCCTGGCTGTAAGATGCACTATCTTGGGGATGTGGTCTCCCAGAGTTAGCAGGGCGTGTGTAGTTAGAATGAAGCTGTGTTTAAAGTCACAATTAAGCCTGGCCTGGGGCTTTATTCCTATAATCCCAGCACCCAGGAAACTGAGGTAGGGGATTGAATTTGAGGCCATGCTAGGCTACATAGTGAGACTTTGTCTCAAATAAATAAATATGGGGGCAATTCCTGGACGCTATTGGTGAGCAGGTGACACTCTGTATCACTATGACTAGGCCCTGGGCATCCCTAGCAACCTGGTGAGTGGAGAGGTAGCCAGAGAGTGACAGTGATCAGTTGGGCAGTGTTGTCAGTGATTGCCTGCTGATGGGTTCTCTGAGTAAACACCGTTTATCGGGCGAAATTAAGCTGGTGGTCATGCTGAGAGTAGGTGCCACCACCACCACTGTCTTGGGACAATGGTGTGGGGGTGTGATTATTTTTAAGGAGACACCCTGTGCTCCTAGATGGTGTGAACACAATCCGTGATGTCATCATCATCAATGTGTACACAGCCTACACTGATGAGTTTCCCATCCAGCCTTCCTCAGTCATTGCCCTGTTGGCATAGCAAGCCTGTACAAGCCCCACGTGAACCAGGACCTAGGCCCGACCCATCTCTTCTGCCTGCCCTGGGCTCTCCCTGTGAACGCCATCCTAGCCCTTTCCAGCCCTGATTGCCGACCAAACCACAACACTAGGTTTCATTTCTTTGGTCCTGGACTTTTTTTTTTTTGGAGGGGGGGTTGTGGGCTTTTCTCTTTTTACATTCACATTGTGTATGTGTGTGTGTGTGTGTGTGCACAAACAGGTCCTACAGCACATACAGGGTGGTCAGAAGACACCTTACGGGAGTTGATCTCTTCCATCATGTAGGTTCTAGGGATCAAACTAAGGGTGTCAGGCTTGGCAGCAAGCACCTATATCCATCTTTTTGACAGTCCTCTCTAACATTGTTTTGAGCCTGTACTTATAGGTCACTTTATTGCCCTGGCTGGCCCAGAACTCACAGAGACCTCCCTGCCAAGTGCTAAGACTAAAGACGTGCATCACAGGCCCAGTTAAACATCCTTTTTTGTCCACCCCCCACTTTGATAGCGTTTAGAGGAGTCAGGTTTATAGGAAACTGCACACAAAGTGGAGTGCTCCCATGCATCCTCCCTGCAGCAGGGGACTCTTGTTCACCTGCCTTCTGTACCCCTTGTCCACTGACAGCTAAGATCCACGACCTATCTGTGGTTTACCGGCTCTGTGTTTTCTTTCTTTCTTTTTTTTTTTTTTTTTTTTTTTTTTTTTTTTTTTTGGTTTTTCGAGACAGGGTTTCTCTGTGGTTTTGGAGCCTGTCCTGGAACTGGAACTAGCTCTTGTAGACCAGGCTGGTCTCTAACTCACAGAGATTCGCCTGCCTCTGCCTCCCAAGTGCTGGGATTAAAGGCCTGCGCCACCACCGCCCGGCAGGCTCTGTGTTTTCTCCTCCGGCCCTCATGACCTCCTGAGAAGCAGGCTGTACCCCGTTGGCAAAGAGCCCAAGTCCCCTACTCACAAAGATGGGACCTGGGACCCGGCTCTGCCCAGAGCTCCTCTGTCCTCTGTCCTCTCTGCAGGTTCACCTATGGCCACGCAGGCACCATCTACAAAGACTTTGTGTACATCTCAGGGGGACACGACTACCAGATTGGCCCATACCGCAAGAACCTGCTGTGCTATGACCACCGGACGGACGTGTGGGAGGAGAGGCGGCCCATGACGACGGCCCGAGGCTGGCACAGCATGTGCAGCCTGGGTGACAGCATCTATTCCATTGGGGGCAGTGACGACCACGTGGAGTCCATGGAGCGCTTCGATGTGCTGGGTGTGGAGGCCTACAGTCCTCAATGCAACCAGTGGACCCGTGTGGCGCCACTGCTGCAGGCCAACAGCGAATCGGGCGTGGCCGTGTGGCAGGGCCGTATCTACATCCTGGGCGGCTACAGCTGGGAGAACACGGCCTTCTCCAGGGCTGTGCAGGTGTATGACCGTGAAGCCAACAGGTGGAGCAGGGGTCCGGACCTCCCCAACGCCATTGCAGGCGTGTCGGCCTGTGTGTGTGCCCTCAACCCAAGACTGGAGGAAAAGAAGAAGAGGAGCAAGGACAAGTGCCAGGACCGAGGTCAGTGACACCGAGGCTCTGGCAGAGCGGCCACATCCACAGCTGTCACACCGTAGGAGCTATTTTCTACTTTTTTCATTCCTGGTATTTCTATGCTATCACAGTAAATAATAATTAAATATTCTTCACAACTTTACATATTATCTCATTTGAATACTTGCACTTGGGTCATCGTGTCTGCACGGGCCTTCTTCCCGGGCCAGACACCCCTGAAGTTCCCTGTGACTGTTCCCACCCACAGTTACTGGCTCACAGGTTATATGAAAAAATTGGTAGTGAAAATCAGTGTCCCCAAGTTTTGGGCTTCCCCAAACCTAGCTGCAGCTTTTGTACAGATACCCAAGCTGTGCTGAGGCATAGAGGCCTATCCAGAGACTTGAATTCTGAGCGTCAGCTGCATTCTGCATTCAGTTACCTCGGGCAAGGGTACGCATGTTTGTTGTGCATTTAAAGACACGGGGATCCCAAGCTCCCTGGACAGGCAGTTGAGACCCAGGGACTCTTGATTTTCTTGCTGAAGGTTCCATAGCAGCCGATTCTTTTCCTGAATAGTGTCATCTTCCCTGGCTGGAAATCTTTGTGAATTCTCTGTTGTTAAGAAGGAAGAGTAGGAAAAGGTGCAAACGTGTTTATGTGTGGTATTCCGTAGTGTGAGCTACCTCCTACCTAATGTCACTGTTGTAGCAAGCTCCCCAAATCTGCCTTCATTTTTAAAAAAATATTTATTTATTTATTATGTATACATAAATATACATAAATAAGAGGGCACCAGACCTCATTACAGATGGTTGTGAGCCACCATGTGGTTGCTGAGAATTGAACTCAGGACATTTGGAAGAGCAGGCAATGCTCTTAACTGCTGAGCCATCTCTCCAGCCCCTTTGCAAATTGTATATGTACTAAAGGATTTCACACCACAAATGGGCATGCTTGGGTGTGTGAGCATGCGTGTGCCTGCACGTGAGCACACCTGTGTATACAGTCAAACTCAGTTAAGGTTTTTGGTGATGGATGCCTTTGGTGCCTTTTGCAACATTTGTGTCTGAGTTTTATGGCCTTCCAAGTTTTCCTGCCTTGCCTCCTTAGTTACCTTTCTGCTTGTTGCATTTGTTTTGAATTCCATACGGAGCTCTCAGTTCCTGAAAAACATTTAAAACAGCTTGCCTGCCAGCTCGTGCTTTGTGGGAGACCGAGGCATTTCACGGCCACTTCACTTGTGCTTCTAATTACTGTGCTTACCCTGGAATACCATTCAGGTCCTTGATTCCCACACTGAATCCCCGTGACCTGAAGTGTATGTCAAGTGGGTAATTTGGTTAGCAAAGAAAAAAGCTAGAAATGAAAAGAGGTCTAGGCCAGGGCATGCAGTGGGTTCCCTTGGACAGAAAGATTGTGGTTGTGGGTAGAGCTCAGAGGTACAGCCTTTTCCTAGCATACGGGAAACTCTAGGTTTCATCCATCATACTACAAAACAAAAATAAAACAGCACTCCAGAGCCTACGGCAGGAGGCTTGCCATGAGTTCCAGACCACCCTGGATTGCAGAGTGAGATCCTGTCTCACTCAAAAAGGAAAAGACCAGAAACTGTCAGTGAAGATAGAAGATAGAGGCTCCTCTCTCCTGGGGACCTGTGGGGCTGAGGTTGGCTCCCTGCCTGCAAGTTTTAAGCAGGCCACGTGTGGACAAGCCAGTCACCGATGGGTGCCATCAGTTAATTCAAATCCAGAGAGCACAGGGAGGCACCTGCACATCGCATACCTGGAAGCCTCAAGCCACCCCAGGGAGGACATGGCTGCCTATCACCAATTCCTCCCCTTAGGGTTCCCAGGCCATAGGTTCAAAGCCCTGCTGGATGTAGCTACAGTGGCACCTGACAGCCGGTGAGTGGTCGGTTGTCTGGGTCTGAGAGCTTCTGGGATGATGAGACAGGAAGAAGGAGGCTTTGCGTTTTATGGAGTGATGAGCCAGTCACAGCCAAGCAGGGTGAGCATCGTTTGTGACATGGAGGGATGTGAATATCAGCTCAGCAAAGGTGCTCTCACCCGAGGCTCACACAATCATGGAGCCACCCATAGTTCCATGGGGTGGGGGGATCCCAAAAGCTAGTTAGTGGAGGGGGTCTTTTCGGCCTCCATGGCCAGCAGAGTATCGATATGTGGGAGGCAATACGGCATTTCAGTAGCCAGCGTTTGTTCAAACTTCAGGAGTCTGACCGTGAGTTGTTGATTTGAGGCATGTTTGAGCACAGCACAGTTTGGCAAAGATTTTGCCGATGATAATTAACTCAACCCCGGGTGCACAATAAAGTACACATAAATCTCCTCGAGGAACAAAGTCGGCTAAATAAGGATCAGACGTGACTACATAGAAACTCTTTGTCAAGTACATGTGACATCTTCCATGAGGATAGGTTCTATAGGTGACTAAAAAACATGCTTATCATAAGGATCTGGGGGAGGGTCCAACGTGGTCTCTGACCACACAGATAGTGAAAAGGTCACTAGGCTATTAAATATGTCCACCCCTCCCAGTCTTCTGGGCAGATAATGGGTTATGCATCTTTTCCCTTGAAGGAACAACTTGTGTGTTTAATGTCCCAGGCTTCCCTAGTGCTTATCTGTGAGGACAAGGACCTCTGTCCCTCCTTCAGGTTAGGAAAACTCAGCAGCTTGGGTTTCCCCCTACACACTTTCCCTCATCCTTCCTCTTGTCTTTGGTATCTGGTCTCTTTATCTCTCCACATGGTGACCTCGTGTGCACATCTTACACGGAAACCAGAGCTCACCAGATTGACGGTCCCCAATGCAACGAGCAGAGGTTTCATGACTTCTGGTCCCGGTCTGAGAATGCTTTGTCACTGATGTGTGTCACCCCTGGGGACCATCACAATTCCTCCTGCTGAAAGGGATGTCAGCAACAGGGTGTACCTGTCCCCAAGTCCTGCAGAAGGTATGTCCTGAGGTCAGAGACTGCCACGCACACCCCTTGGCACTTCAGCAGGGACTGTCCCATGCTTGACACAGCTCTGCTTTGGCTGTTCATGCAGGAGCCTGCACCCGGGCCCTGAGAGGCTCTGTGGCAGAAGTGATGTGTAGGTTGGTGACAGAACTCGGGGGTAGATCTCTTGCCTAGTGTGCACACGACTCTGGGTTCCAACCCCTACACCACTGGGGTGGGAGAAAGGAATGCCATTTGCCATCCCTTGGGGGTAGGTGCAAGAGTAATAGCAGCATCATGAGTTCAAGGCCAGCCTTACCTACTTAAGACCCTATCCCCATAAAAAGCTGTCACCTCAGCATGAAAGCTCAAATGAGGAGGCCCTAGGGCTCATGTCAAGACTCCAAAAGCATAATAGCACATACCTTTAGTCCCAGCGCTGTCTTCTTCAGGAGACAGGCAGGCAGATCTCTGTGAGGTCAAGGCCAGCCTGGTCTACATAGTAAGTTCCAGGACAGCCAGAGCTACATAAAGAAGCCCTGTCTCAAAATAACAAACATGAAACCCTCAGAGGAGAAAGGCATAAGCAGGAAGAGAGGGGGAGGATGAAAGACCATGTGGAATAGATCAGGCCTCTGCCCAACCCAGTCTGCACTGGAAAGAACTGGATGCTGGTGGGTATACAAAGGGGTTCGGGTCAAGCAGGTGGCTCACACCTGTGATCTCAGCACTTAGAATGCTGAGGCAGGAGGATGGCACGTTCCAGGCCAACCCAGGCTGTGAGCAAATTTGTGGAGACAGGAAGCATCTTGGCGACCTCCTGGAATGGAGATGGGGAGAGGAAAGTGGGAACAGCTGAGGGGCACAGCTGTGCAGTCCCTCGACTGTAGGAGGAATCCTTAGATTGCACACTTAAGGGTTGGAAAGATAGCTCAGCGGTTAATAGCTCTGGTGGAAGACCCAAAAGGGGTTCCCGGCGCCCATATCAGGTGAGTCCTGGCTGTTTTGGAACTCTCTCTGTAGACCAGGCTGGAGGCCTTCAACTCAAGAGATTCACCTGCCTCTGCCTCCCGAGTGCTGGGATTAAAGGTGTGCACCACCACTGCCTGACCAGAACTTAATTTTTAAAGATTTATATCTAACATGGGGTTAAAATGATGAGGTTGGAGACCAAAGAGATGGCTCAGGGTAAGGACTTTTGCAGCCAAGCCTAATGACCTAAATTCGATCCCTAGAACCTTCGCGGTGGAACAAGAACTAACTCGTGGAAGTTGTCCTCGGAACTCCACAAGTACCTGGAGGCATGTGCCCCTTCTGTCACAATAAATAAATAAAAATTTAAGCAGAAGCTTGCGTGGTTGCCTCAGGTGTCCTCCAGATGGCGCTGTGGAGCGGCAGTGCTCCGTTCCGGACCAGCTTGTGCTGGGAGGTACTCTCAGGCCCTTCAGGACAGAGCCGTCAGGCACTCCTAGAACAGCTCGGATAGGCGTGTCTCTGCCAGCACCGTTCCCTGAAACCTTTCTGTACCCACAGTCCGTTCTGGCTGCCCAGCCAACAGCTGTGTCTGGTTTGTTCTAGTCAAGACCGGGCTATAGGCCTTCTCCCAGGTAAGCATAGGCTGCTGTGCTAGCCCGTGTGTCCAGGTTTGAGACTGGAGCGACCTCAGCGGGAGCTCACACCTGCTGCCCACAAGGAGGACGACTCTCTGCTGCCCTTCCTGTTGACGCAGCAGGAAGCCCCGGGGTCTGTCTGGGGCCCTTTGAGCTGACCTTCAGCATCCTGGCTGAGTTCCGTAGATGGGTTTACCAGGCTGGCTCTGACAGTGATTCATCCCCCTAGGGCCTTTGGGTAGGTTGTTCAGTCATCCAAAGGGGCTAAAAATACAGTTCTGACTTCTGAGCCTTTTGTACTTCCTGCTCACATTCAGGAGGCCTCATCCCAGTTTCTGGTCATCACTTCGGCCCACAGCTCAAAGCCTCACTGGCATCTCCTCTTTTAGAGTAGGGACTGATCACATCCTCCTGATGTGCACAGAGCCCAGGACTCTGAATTACTCTCTGTGGCAGCTGGGCTTAATTCCACAGACTTGAGGAGAAAGACTACCGACCCTAACCATGACCAAATTAATTAAGGCGAACGAACAATTATTTAAAGCAAGCTTGGTGACTCATCCGGCTTCTTGCTCTAGGGGAT